CATCACTCAAATTAGTAGATGCAATGATAGTAGAGTTAATGAATGTGTGCCAAAACATAGCCTCTGGAGTAAGATCCACTCTATCCAACTTTTCTGGCACATCCGGTTGTCCACTATTTGGCTTCCATCTAGAATAAGGATGGGTGATGGCACTGCGGATCTCCTCAGCAATAGCAGGCATTTCTTCTCTATAAAGGCCTCTTGTTGCAGAAGGTTGCATCTTAGTAAATGTCTGTGCAAAGTGGCAACTTTTGCGACGATCATGGGTAGTCCCAAGGAACTGCTCTATTGCTGCAGATGATAAAGATGATTCTTGTACTCTCACCCAACTCTTTCGAGTGGTATCCACCGTCTCCAAATTAGCATTTGCACAAAATTCTTTCAGTATTGTGCTGGAGCTCGGTGCAGGAAATCTCACCAACTTCTCCCATTTCCTCCTCTCTGCTGTGAGTCTAATTGGACAATCACTATACATATAGGCATTGATTGGCCTTTCGGATATGATTTTCTTTGGAATAAACCACTTGTAGTACCGGTCTTGAGCTTCAGGTGATAAGAATCGAGTACTGTCAAAGACAGATGAAGAAGAGGTCCTGGGCCTCTTTGTGCCAGCAACACTACTCTCTCCTGTTTTCTTGCTGGAGCCAGAGCCCTTTGTGGTCTTTTTACCCTGCTTTCCCTGCACTCAGAAAAGTTTCAACACAGTAGAATCTATGTATGTATAACTTGAAAATGCACCAGTGAATATCATGTCATGAAAACAACATCCAGAATTCAGTCATACCAAGAAAAAATAATTAGCATATCAGAAAACCAAAAACCCAATTCCCAGATTTATCTTTTACAATCATTCTTGACAGAATGTTTCAGCATGTATTGTTCAAAAGATGTAATAATTAAATCATCACATGTCACTTTACTACTCACATCAGAACAGAGAATACTCAATGGCATAGTATAACAAAATGATAATCTCCCTGTGTGCTCATAATTGGACAATTCCTCACTTCCAAGCAGCATATGGAAACAAGTATGACTAAGGAGCAGAGTTAAACGGACACCAGCCTATAATTAGCAAAACAAGTACCCTTTCAATTATTTCAAAAGTCATACAAACATGGAAGCCAATGTATACACATTCCTCAACACATACACATTCCCAACTATCATCCTCTAACTCCTTATTAGTCTAACAAGTGAATCATCGAACATTTATAAAGCATGTGAGCAATTTATCATAACTTCCACATCCTATGTAGTAAACACAATCAGACAAGGTTCTTTGACAATCAGAACTAAATAACACAGGAACATTTAAACTGGAACTAAATCACATCATCATAAGGGTGTTGCTAAATCAAATAGGTATGCCAATTCCAGTCTTTCTTAACATCCACCATCACAATTAAACCAATATTGCAATAGGAAACATGTTATGACTGAATTATAGAAGCGTACCTTGTCTCCTGCCATTGATGAATTTGTGAACTTCAAAAATTAGAAACCCTAACTTTGAATAAATTGTAATGAGAATCCAAAATTCCTACCCAAAGTGGAACCCTATCTTTGAACGTGTAGCTTGGTGGTTATGGGTGAGATGAAGAAGGTGGTGGTTGACGGTGGTTGAAAGTTGGTGACCGGTTTGGAAGAAGATAGGTGGGGTTGGTTGGGAGAGGGCTGTCGTACGGTGGCTATGGGTTATGGTTGGGGGAGGGAAGAAGGTGGTGGTGGTGATTCACGGTGGAGGACGGTGTGATTTGTGGAGAGAGATGAGTGAGAGAGAAAGAGAGGGAGGGATAGAGAAGAGGGATGGTGGTGACGGCTGAGTGAGAGAGATGAGAGGGAGAGAGAGTGGGAGTGAGGTTAGGAAATTTTTGGGTTTTAAAATCTGAGTTTCCTAATGACGCTCATAGCATGGATTTCTATGAGCGTGGTACCTTCTGAATGGTGATGCTGAGAGCGCGTTATCCACGCTGTGGGTGTGGTAGCTTTTGTTTACTTTCTCACGCTCAAAGCGTGAATCCCACGCTAAGAGCGTGGTAGCTTCTGTTTCATCACGCTGACAGCGTACAATTCACGCTGACAGCGTACAATTCACGCTGACAGCGTGGCTCTCTTCCACATGTCTCACGCTAAGAGCGTGAATATGACGCCAGCAACGTCAATTTTAAGTGCACAGCTTATTACTCTCTAACCTAAAAAATTAAAATGACTATACTAACCTTTCTTGCTGGGTTGCCTCCCAACGAGCGCTTGTTTAACGTCACGAGCCTGACTGGAACCGTTTAAGATTCAGGTGAAGCCAAAGGGACGGAAATTGTGTCCCTATTCACATGTTCTCCATGATAGAATTTTAATTTACTCTCATTGACCTTAAATGGTCTTTCAGCATCGAGAGGGGAGATTTCAATCGTACCATATGGGAATACGTTTTTCACAATGAAAGGACCAGACCAACGAGATTTGAGTTTACCTGAAAACAACCTCAGTCGAGAGTTGTACAGTAATACCTGTTGTCCGGGCACAAATTCCTTGTGCTGAATCTTCCTGTCATGCCACTTCTTTGTTTTATCTTTGTAGATTCTGGCACTCTCATACGCAGAGTTTCTGAACTCATCAAGCTCACTCAATTGAGCCTGTCTTTTCTCCAAAGCTTTCGTTGAATCGAAATTTAGGAATTTAATAGCCCAGAAAGCTTTATGTTCCAGCTCCACAGGTAGATGGCAAGATTTTCCAAATACCATCTGATAAGGTGATGTGCCAATAGGAGTTTTGAAAGCAGTCCTATAAGCCCACAAAGCATCATCTAGCCGCTTGGACCAATCCTTCAAAGAATTTCCAACGGTCTTTTCGAGAATCCTCTTCAACTCTCTGTTGGAGACCTCCACTTGTCCGCTGGTTTGAGGATGGTAAGGTGTAGCAACCTTATGTTTAACACCATACTTAACCAGTAAGTTATCAAACTGTTTGTTGTAAAAGTAAGTCCCTCCATCACTGATTATTGCCCTTGGTACACCAAACCTTGTGAAGATGTTCTTTCTCAAGAAATTGACAACCACCTTAGCATCATTAGTGGGAAGAGCAACAGCCTCAACCCACTTAGAGACATAGTCAACAACAACAAGGATGTATTGATTGGAATATGATGAAGGAAATGGCCCCATAAAATCTATCCCCCACACATCAAAAAGCTCTACCTCTAATATATTATTCAGAGGCATTTCATCTTTGCGGGAAATATTGCCCACTTTTTTGCATCTGTCACATCTTTCAACAAAATCCCTTGCATCCTTGAATAATGTAGGCCAGTAGTAACCACTCTGTAGAACTTTTTGAGCAGTTCTATTGCCTCCAAAGTGTCCTTCGTAGTCAGATGCATGGCAGTGCCACAGGATCTCATGAACTTCAAATTCGGGCACACACCGTCTTATAATTCCATCAGCACACTGGAAATACAAGTAAGGATCATCCCAATGAAACCTCCTTGCATCTCTGAGGAACTTCTTCTGTTGTTGCCTTGTAAGATTGGGAGGCAACTCTTTTATCACCTTGTAATTGGCAATATCTACAAACCAAGGGGGTACGAATATTGTCATTACTCTTTCATCAGGAAAATGGTCATTTATTTCCTTCTCAGGACCATCTTGTAGTTCTTTTTCCTGAATCCGTGACAAGTGATCTGCCACCTTGTTCTCCACTCCAGCTTTATCCCGGATCTCCATGTCGAACTCTTGAAATAAGAGCATCCATCTGAGCAACCGAGGCTTTGCATCCTGCTTATTCATTAAATACTTGATAGCAGAGTGGTCAGTAAACACAATAACCTTAGACCCCAACAGATAAGATCTAAATTTGTCTAATGCATATACTACTACTAGCATTTCCTTCTCAGTGGTGGCATAATTTACTTGTGCCTCATTTAAAATTTTGCTAGAGTATTATATAACATGTAACAATTTATTCCTCTGTTGTCCAAGGACTGCACCTATAGCATAGGCACTAGCATCACACATAAGCTCAAAGGGTAAACTCCAATCAGGAGCTACTAAAACAGGAGCCGTGGTGAGCTTTTCTTTTAACAGATTAAAAGCTTTAAGACATGCATCATCAAATCGAAATTCAGAATCTTTTTCTAAAAGTTGGCTTAAAGGTTTAGCTATTTTAGAAAAATCTTTTATAAATCTCCTGTAAAACCCAGCATGTCCTAGAAAACTTCTAATACTAGTCACATTATTAGGGGGAGGTAATTTCTCAATTAACATCAATTTAGCTTCCTCTACCTCAATCCCTTTTTCAGATATCTTATGTCCTAAAACAATTCCCTCTTGTACCATAAAATGACATGTTTCCCAGTTTAGTACAAGATTTGTTTCTTGGCATCTTTTTAACACATGAATTAAATTTAGCAAACATAAATCAAAGCAAGAGCCAAAAACAGAAAAGTCGTCCATAAATACCTCCAGGTTTTTCTCCACCATGTCAGAAAAGATGGAGAGCATGCACCTTTGAAATGTAGCAGGTGCATTACATAGACCGAATGACATTCGTCTATAAGCAAAAACTCCAAAAGGGCAGGTGAAAGCTGTTTTCTCTTGGTCCTCCGGTGCCACTGGAATTTGGTTGTATCCAGAATATCCGTCCAAGAAGCAGTAATAGTTGTGACCTGCCAATCTTTCCAACATTTGATCCACAAAAGGAAGTGGAAAGTGGTCATTCCTTGTAGCTATATTTAGTCTTCGGTAGTCCACACACATTCTCCAACCAGTAACGGTTCTAGTTGGAATCAGCTCATTTTTCTCATTGTGAACTACTGTGATACCTCCCTTTTTCGGAACAGTCTGCACTGGGCTCACCCAAGCAGTATCCAAAAATGGATAAATCATGCCAGCATCAAGAAGTTTCACAACTTCTTTCCTTACAACTTCCTTTATTGTTGGATTAAGCCTCATTTGAGGTTGTCTCACTGGCTGAACCTCATCTTCCATGAGGATTTTATGTGTTGCAGTTTTGTCTCTTGTTCAGAAGACAATCCCTTGTTAATGATAACAGGGTAAGTCTCCTTCTCACCCAAGAAGATATACTTGAGAGTTTCTGGAAGCTCCTTCAACTCTACCTTTGGTGTACCATCTTCCTTGTCAGAATCTTTCGTTTCAAGGACTTCAAATAACTCATTTTTTTCTTCCTTGAAAGGAACCATTTCATGCACCTGAAGCTCTTCCTCAGATTGTTGAATGGAAAATACTTCTTCTTCCACTACTTGATCTAGAATATCAAGACGAAAGCAATCGCCTTTATCAGAAGATTGTTTCATAGAGTTAAAAACATTGATGGTGATAGTCTCATCATTCATTCTTAACTTTAACCTGTCATTCTCAACATCAATCATGGCTCGAGCAGTCGCCAAGAAAGGTCTTCCCAATAATAGGGGCATTTCAGTACCCTCTTCCATATCTAATACCACAAAATCAGCTGGGAAGATGAACTTATCCACCTTGACAAGCATATCTTCAATAATACCACTTGGTCTCCTCAAAGATCTATCAGCAAGTTGTAGAGAAACCATAGTGGGTTTTAACTTAGTAATTCCCAGAGATTTGCAAACAGATAACGACATCAGATTAATACTTACCCCAAGATCACATAGTGCTCTGCTAACATCAGTGTTACCGATAACAATTTGAATATTGAAGCTTCCCAGATCACTGAGTTTAGGTGGGAACTTCTTTTTTATAATGGCACTACACTCTTCAGTGAGTGTTACTGTTTGGAACTCCTGTAGCTTATGTTTCCTTGACAACAAGTCCTTCATGAATTTTGCATAATTTGGCATGCCAGCCAAGGCTTCAGCAAGAGGAATATTTATATGCAGCTTTTTGAGATATCCAAGGATCTTGCATACTGCTGTTTCTGAGCGTCTTTTTTAAACCTTTCTGGGTAAGGTGCCATAGCTCTCACATATTCTGGCTTCAGCTCGAATTTCTTTTTCTCAGCAACAGTTATTTGTGGCTCCTCTTCCTCACCTTTATGAACAGGTGTCTCAATATCAGAAGGAATAACCACTTCTTCCTCTACCTCCTTACCCTTTCCAGTAGCGTCCGCATTTGTGGTTGGCTTTGTTGGAGCTGCCACCACCTTGCCACTTCTTATAGTTATAGCCATACAGTCATCCTTCGGATTAGTAACTGTATTGCTAGGGAAAGTGCCTGGAGTTCTTTCGGCCATCTGTTTAGCCATCTGGCCAATCTGGTTCTCCAAATTTCTGATAGATGCTTGTGTGTTTCTAGTGTTTTCCCGAGTCTCTTCCATAAAAGCATTGGAATGTTGGCCCATTTGTCCCACTAGCTTCTCTAACTCAGAAGGTTCCTTCGGTTGAACTGGCGGTGGCTACAAATAGTTATTGGACTTGAAGTCAAGACCAGTACCTTGCACTCTCCTTTGGAAGTTATTGTTCCCAGAAGGAAAATTCTGAGTTCTTGGAACCTTTTGTGGTGAGGGTCTCTGATCATACCACACACCATTTACATGTACCTGCTGAGGAGGATCATCGGCTAGCAGAGTAGGACATTCATTGGATTCATGATCTTCCTTGCAATATTCATAGACAACTGCTGCAGCTTGAGCTTGAATGCTAGAAAATTGCATCTTATCAAGCCTTGATGTCAAGTTTGCTACCTGCTGAGATAACAAACTGTTTTCAGCCATCACCACATCATTGCCTTCCAGTTTAAGTATACCTCTTTTAGCCTTGGATGACAATGCTTGGTTTTCGTTGGCAGCCATCCTCTCAGTATAACTTGACTGCTGGTAGTCAGGTTAGAATCTTTTTCAATGGTTGCAAACCTGAGATTCGGATGGTGCTAAAGTTATTGTTCCCAGAAGGAAAATTCTGAGTTCTTGGAACATTTTGTGGTGAGGGTCTCTGATCATACCACACACCATTTACATGTACCTGCTAAAGAGGATCATCGGCTAGCAGAGTAGGACATTCATTGGATTCATGATCTTCCTTGCAATATTCACAGACAACTGCTGCAGCTTGAGCTTGAACGCTAGAAAATTGCATCTTATCAAGCCTTGATGTCAAGTTTGCTACTTGCTGAGATAACAAACTGTTTTCAGCCATCACCACACCATTGCCTTCCAGTTTAAGTATACCTCTTTTAGCCTTGGATGACAACGCTTGGTTTTCGTTGGCAGCCATCCTCTCAATCAACTCAAGAGTCTCATTTGCTCTTAAAGTTTTAATAGTGCCCCCTGCTGCACCATTTAGCACCATCCGAATCTCAGGTTTGCAACCATTGAAAAAGATTCTAACCTGACTACCAACAATCAAGTTATACTGAGGACACCTTCTCATCAAGTCCTTGAACCGGTTCCATGCTTCACACATTGATTCACCCTCTGATTGAGTGAAATTGGTGATATCATTCACCATCTGGTTATACTTCTCCATCGAGAAGAACTGAGCAAAGAACTTCTGCGATAAATCATCCCAGGTTGAGATGCTTGTTGCAGGCTGCCTTTCCAACCAACTAAGAGCCTTTCCTTTAAGAGCAAAAGGAAATAGTCTCAGCCGGACTGCATCATTAGACACTTGAGAATGTTTTGTAGAATCACAGATCATCAGGAATCTGTTTATGAATCTATGAGGGTCTTCATCATCCTCTCCACCAAACTGAGCTATCTCCACTAGTCGAATATTATCGGACTTGAGCTCCCAATGATTGTTGCCCACTTCAGGATGGACAATGCTCGCATTGGGTCTGTTGAATAATGGAGTCAGAATAGTGTCCATGAGTGGATTGTCAGCATCATTGTTGTTTGCCATTTTATCTTCTTCTAGCAGAATATCTAACTCGTTGAATGCAAGCTTCTTCCGAGCAAATTTTTTGTTTTTCTTCTCTGTTTTTGTGATCTCCAAATCAAGTGGAAACTCGGGCTCTTTACCTTGCATACAACTTAGAAAAGAGATTAGTAGCACTTGCTCCAAATATCACAAAAAATTCAAAAATAAAAAAAAATATCCAATCTTAAAATCAAAATCAATTGATATGAGAAACGCCAATCCCCCGCAACGGCGCCAAAAACTTGATGCTTCCCGGCAAGTATACCGATCGCACAAGTAATAAAGTGATAAATAATGTTCTTCTCCACAGGAATTGTGATCTTATATTAATTAATATTCCTTTAAAGAATGGATGAGTTTAAACGGTTTTGACAAGTATTGTCAATTGGTGTGAATATGAGGACTCAAAATAAAGACTTGTTTTTATTATTATTATTTTCTGTGATGAAGAATGAAATTGTAACAACAATCAAAATAGATTTGTAAATATGAGAAGAGTATTGTAGCTAGGAAACACTCACCATATGATCCCCGCTTATTACTTTGAATTGATTTAAAAACACTTATTTATATAAAAACTCAGATAAATATCATCTAAAATAATTAGTTAAATTCCAATCCCTTGGTAATTTAACCCTTTAACTTCAGTTGGAATCCTAATCCCTTAGTAACCCCTCATGAGAATTAAGCAATGAATACGATAATTAAAACATCCGCAATTAACATACATCTATTCCTAGCATGCATACTAATCGTTATCTTACCCCCTTTCAAGATGAGAACTCCAATCTTCCTATCTAGGGTTCTAACTCTCAGACTATTATCAACTATTAGAGTGATCAATTCTAATAAAGAAAATAGGAATTACGCACAGAGTAATGATAAAGAAATTTATATAAACGGGAGAAAATAAACCAATCCTTCGTAACAAGGGTTCACATAAGGTTTGTGACCCTAACTACAATAAAGAAAAACTTAGCCAACCATATTCATGGCTAATAAATCAATATTCAATATTCAATGTGATGAAAGAATGAGAGATGAAAGAATGAAGATGATCAGGAATTCTTCTCTGAAGCTCTTCTCCTTCAGCACGACGGTCTCCTCGGTCTAGATCCTAATTCTGTGCTGAGCCTCCTATTTATAATGCTCTTTTAGGTCTTCCACGTTTACCCTTTTAGACAAAACAGAATTGTCATCTCGCATACTGACGCTCTCAGCGTCAGATCCACGCTGTGGGCATGGATGCCTCTGGATGCCCACGCTGTCAACTTGATATCCACGCTATGGGCGTGGGAAGAAGGGAATTTTTCACGCTATCAGCGTGGAATCCACGCTGTGAGCGTGGTTGCCTCTGGATTCCCACGCTACCAGCGTGACATCCACGTTGTCTTTACTGTGGCAAATCCTCATTTTGCTCCAGATTTGTTTGCTTTTCCTACAAGTTAAGCATAAAATCAATTGTACAATTCTGAAATTGGAATTTAAGCAAAGCAACACTAAACGTTGCCTTTTTATTGAGAATTAACTCATAATCTTTCTCTTTTTGGCTTGAATTTACCCATGTGCTGAAGGCACATCAAATACCAACGTATTTGGACGGATTCTAAAATAATATTTTAAAATCCTAATCGAATACCATGTGACTTTTTTTCAATCCATTAAAATCCTAATTGAATACCAATGATTTTTTTATCCAAAAATAATTCATTAAAATCCTTGGAAATCTAAATCCATTACACCCCTTAGACTACGATTTTATGTTTTGAAGTTTTAATGTTTACATATTTTCGGTATGATAACATTGAATATATTTACATTGATAGTTGTAGGTAAATCAAAAGACAATAAAACAAAAAATAAGAACAAAGTCATGTAAATCAAAGGCAACCGATTATCACTACACGTGAGGGGGGCACTTTGATTGGGCTTTAATTCCTTGTGTCCATTAAGACACAAAAGCTGTCTACCGTTACATGCAAAGGCTTTTACCCCATTTCCATTAGCGTTAGCTATAAAAAGAATTGGAATCGGAGAAGCCAACCAAACCAGTCCATCCCTTACATTTTTTTTTAACCAAGAAAAAAAAAACAAATATGATTCATTTTTCTTTCTCCCTTTAAATTTTACATTGCCTTTCCTTTCCATAATTTCAAATCAAATTCGTATATTTGATTTTTTTTTTTTTAAATAAAATATAATAACAAGAAGAGGAAAAAAAAATCATCTTCTTCCATTTTCAGTCCCTATATATTACTAAAATCATGCTTTCTCTTCACACTGTTTCTGGATATTTGCAATTAATTTGGTAACTGAATTTGAATTTGAATTTGAATTTGGAAAATCAAAATTGACACAATTAGAACAAGTAGAAGAGGAAAAAGAAGGAGAAAACGGGTGGGGAGGCATATAGGAACATTATGAACCTACCCTTCTCGTGTTCTTAGTCTCATTGTGCCTCCCCTCAGATCTTAGTTTTATGTAAGATTTGGCATCTGGGTTTTCCTGTGTGGGTTGGTTTTGGAGGAAATCTGGATTGAACGTTTTGAACTTTTTTTAATTGGAGTGTGCCTTTTGATCTTTGATGGGTTGTCTGATTGAAAATATTCATGGGTTTTTTTTTTCCAGGATTGCTTGATTGTGGATTGATTCACTGGTCGGTGAAGGATCCGATGTTTCCTAATTGAATCCGAGAATACCCTTTTTTAGAGTAAACTAATATTGTCATAATTTTAAGGTAATTTGTTCTACTGTTTATGTTTGAACAATTTGACAACTGGAAATTAAGTTATGATTTTATTCTAACTGGATTTATTGCCATTTCATACTATTATGCTTTTTGTTTTTATGATGTTTTTGATGGGTCTTTTTTCTTTTTAAATTTTTTTTATGCTATAGATATTGTATAATGAATTGTATGAGCCATGGACCTGCCTTTTCTTTTATCCTATGACTTAGATGCTTGGTTTGTCCTAGGAAGCTTGGCTTTTTTTTTCAGTTCTAACGATGCTGCCACTTGCATTTGTGAGTCTTTGAGCTTAATGAATTATGTATCTTTTGCTTTATAGATAAAATGCAATCAGATAATGGCAAATTATTTATTGGTGGAATATCATGGGATACAAATGAAGAGCGGCTCAAGGAGTATTTTAATAATTATGGGGAGGTCATGGAATCAGTGATAATGAAGGATCGGACAACAGGTAGAGCCCGGGGATTCGGTTTCATTGTTTTTTCTGACCCAGCTGTTGCTGAAAGAGTCATAAAAGAGAAGCACAACATTGATGGAAGGATGGTAATTTCTTGTTATATTCCTCTTTTAAGACTAATTCTTACATTTTGATATACTTGAAATCGGAATACTTCATTCCAAAATAGCAGTTCAAGATATTGAATTGTACTTTGCATTGCTGAATTTGAGGTCAGCATAGCGTCTTTATTTAGCTAGACTTAAAATGGATCAAGAATTAATTATCTTTTCAAATTTGATTGCTTTTTAATACCGATTCATCTATAATTAGGTTGAGGCAAAGAAAGCTGTCCCTAGAGATGACCAGAACATACTGAGCAGAAACAGTGGCAGTGTACATGGTTCTCCAGGTCCATGCCGCACAAAAAAGATATTTGTTGGAGGTTTAGCATCAACAGTAACAGGGAGTGATTTCAAAGAGTACTTTGATCAGTTTGGGAATATAACAGATGTTGTAGTGATGTATGATCAAAACACTCAGAGACCAAGAGGGTTTGGATTTATCACTTATGATTCTGAGGAAGCTGTTGACAAAGTCTTACTCAATACTTTTCATGAATTGAATGGTAAGATTGTAGAGGTCAAGCGGGCAGTTCCTAAGGAGCTATCTACAGGACCAAACCACAGCCCACTTGGAGGATATAACTATGATCTTAGTAGGGTTAGTAGCTTCTTAAATGGCTTCACTCAGGGATATACTCCAAGTAATGTTGGAGGGTATGGCCTTCAGGTGGATGGTAGATTCAGTCCTGTTTCTAGTGGTCGAAGTGGATTTGCTCCATTTGGTTCTGGTTATGGAATGGGTATGAATTTTGAGTCTGGTTTGAACCCTGAATTTGGGGCAAATGCGAATTTCAATAGTAATCTTAGCTATGGTCGAGGATTAAACTTAAATCCTTATTATATTGTCAGTTCAAATAGGTCTAGTAGTCCTATCGGGTACGATGGTGGCAATGGTGGAAACAATTCTTTCTTCAGCTCTGTGACTCGAAATTTGTGGGGGAATGGTGGCCTTAGTTATGGAACAAGCTCTGCTAGTTCCAGCGCATACATTGGATCAGGGAGTGGGAGAGTTGGAGGAAACACATTTGGCAATACTGGAGTCAACTGGGGTTCTTCATCAATTTCTGTTCTAGGGGGAGGGAACAATGTATCACAAAGTAGTGGCAACCTTGGCTTTGGAGGTGCAGGCAACAATTATGGTTTGGGGACTGGAGGGTACGCAAGAAGCAGGGGTACCAATATACCCCCAATGTCGTCGTACTCTGTGTCAAATGGTGGTTACGATGGGGCTTTTTCTGACTTTTACAATAGTAGTTCAGTTTATGGTGACCCCACTTGGCAATCTTCAAATTCTGGGCGAGATGGATCTGGTCCCTTTGGTTATGGACTTGGCGGTGCAGCTTCAGATGTTTCTACCGAAAGTTCTCCAGGTTATGTTGGAGGCTATACAGTTAATAAGAGGCAGCCAAATAGGGGTAAGAGCCACCTTAGCCAAAAAAATTTCTTCTCAATATTTTGGTGAATTTCTTCTGTTCCCCACTAACTAATACCATGACTTTGTGATGTATGAGCAGTATAAGTAGTACTACAAACTTGAAAAATGACTGGTAGATTTGCATTGTCGCATGTCTTTTAATGTTCAGTTTAAAAGCATGAGTTGGTGTCTAGCATACTAGGTGGGTATGTGTTCATGCATGATCAAGTAGTCCTTAATAATGTTGTAAGAAATAAACCGATATGTAAAATTCTTTACAGTGCAATATTGAATTAAATAAAGTTGCTGGTTGAGTAAACAGTTATATTGTGTGAGCCAGGCTTTGTATTATTGTTTTGTTTTTTGTTGACATCTTGACATTCAATACTTTCAGCCCATAGATTGGGGTTATTATTCTACAAATTCATTTTTAAATATATGCAGCCTTTGCATTCTAAGTGAAATTCAATAGTTTGTCAAGATTGATGCAAATATTGAGCTTTTCTTTTGGGACTTTATGTTGTTTTCATGTTTGAGTATGTTGTATGTAAACATTGAGAGAAAACTAAAAGGAAACAGTGGGAAAGTGAATGCAAACTAGATAGAGATAGAAGTGAGAGATCTACTCTGAAACGGAAAATGTTTTTCTGAAAATCTGAGAACTGTTAAATAGTCTCTAATATTTATAGACCTAGATTCAGTTATTCATAGTCAGTTACTGATGTTAGAGTTAGTTGAGATATTCTGTGACAGTTAGAACAGAAAAACTAATTAAGTTTTTCATACACTCTAACAGTCCCCTCAAACTCTGGGTGGATGAGTAAACTGAAATTGATAGAACATCCTGAGTTTTCCCCTTAGACTAGAGAACTAAAGCTTGGATAGAGACTTATTCAGACCATCAGCAAGCTGATTTTTGGTAGGAACATAAGCAACAATGAAGCACTTATTAAGGACCTTTTGTCAACAAAGATGTCTAGCTCCATATGTTTGGTGTATGTGTGTAGCACTAGATTGTAGAAGGAGATTGTCCTCAGGCTATCACATTATATGGCAGGAGTAGTAACTGGTACATGTAATTCTGTCAGCAAGGTCTGAATACGGAAAAGTTTTGTGGCTGTTGTAGCAAGACTGCAATACTCAGCTTTAGTACTGGAACAGGAAACTAGAGCTTGGTTGCAAGACCACCATGAGGGCAGGCCATATTAAGTCCTAAAAATTACACACGTACCGGAGGTGGATCTGGGGTCATCGTGGTCTAATGCCCAGTTATCATCGTAGAACTTCACAAGTGCAAGTGGTTGTAGACAAGTAGCAAGTTGCAGAAGCAAACCATGCATAGGTGTCCCCTTTATGTAAAGAAGGATGAGCTTGACCTGCCATTGGGACTCTAGAGGCAGACATATGGATATCTCAGGTCTTGTAATTGTGGCATACTGAAGTGCTCTCCCCCAATGGACCTATACAATTGAACGTATCATACATAATGACTGCCATGTCTATTGAGCTTGCAGCCACCAACTATTGGAGTAGAAATATTTTTGGCATTACTCATGTTTGTCTTACCCAACGAGTTCAGTACATAATTGGCTCGAGAGAGAGAAAATGCTGCCACTGAGCAACTGTTTAACTTCAATAAAATAACCCCGAGAACTCAGCTGTTTGATGTCAAAGACATAATTAAATTTGGAAATTAACTACTGAATGAGAGAAAATGAGGTGCCGGTTCGGTCACAATAATGTTCTGCACAAATCAGCATATAAACACAGTGAGTGCAGCCTTTTAGAACAATGAGAGATGGGTCTCACTTACTAGAAGAATATCCGGAGCTAAGAAGAATGTTTGTAAGTCTTTTAAACCAGGTCTGGGGGGCTTGTTTCAGTCCTTAGATGGCCTTGCTAATTTTGCAGACCAATATCTTGTTAGGATCTTCATAACCTAGGGGTGGTTGCATATGCAATTCCTCCTCTAACAAGCCGTTAAAAAAGGTATTATTTACATCTAGCTGCAGGATTGGATAGCCTTTAGTAAGGGCCAAGTGAGAATTATACGTATTGACCAGTTTTGCCACTAGAGAGAAACGTTTCTGTGTAGTCAAAATCAGGTTGTTGGTGTAAACCTTAGGCTACGGACCTTGTATTATTTGATTGAGCCATCAAGATTCTCTTTGGTCCTTAAAACCCTTTTGCAATCAATAGGGCTGCGACAAGGTGTTAAAGAAACCAATATCTAGGTTTGATTGGCTAGGAGAGAATCAAACTCAACCAATAAGCGCTTTCTCGTGAGGAATGGCCAATGCTTGTTAAGCTGAAGTGGGTTCTAAATGAGTAAGGAGTAAGATAGGGACATAGTTGAGGTTTGACAATGCCAGACTTTGACGTGGTTTGCATAGGACAAACAAACCAAGAGGATGTTGGAGGTAGTGGTGCCATTGGAGTAGGTGCAGGAGGGCTAGGAATCGAAGTAGAGGGAGATGGAGTATACAAAAGTGAAGGTGTGGCAGTAGAGGTAAAGGATGTAGGGACAAGGTCGACAATAGAAAGAGGTACTGAGTCACTAACACAGGAACGAGAGGAACTGAGGCTGGACTAGGTGGTACGATTGGAGAGGAAAAAGAGGAATTGGAAGCTTTGGAATAAGGAAAACAAAAGTCACTGAAAATAACATATCAACTAGTTGGAGAGAAGCACTTATAGCCTCTGTGATAAGAGGAATAGCCCCAAAAGGTACATTATGTGGATCTGAAGTTAAGTTTGTGTTTGTATAAGGACTCTGATAAGAACCTTGGGATGCACCAAAGTGGATAGCGGGAAGAACCAAATACTTCACGAAAGTTATAATCAGGACATTGATTAAAAAGACAGAGAAAGGGAAAAACATGGTTAAGTGAGGTAGTTGGTAACCGATTGATTATATTATCTGCAATGAGGAAAGCATGATCCTAAAAGTTGAGGGGTGATGATGCGTGAACAATAATTGTGGGATAAACTTCAATTATCTATCGATGTTTACGCTTAACAAACCTGTTTTCTTGATGTGTATGGGGACATATTAGCCTGTGAATGATACCAAGATCAGCTAAGGCTTAAGAGAAAGGTCTAAACACTTCCCCTCACTTAGTGTGCAATGATATTATTTTCTTTCCAATTGCTAATCAAGCATTGATTTTAAAAGGGTGGAAAGCCTAAAGTGCCTCAGTCATGGGCTTAAGAAGGTAGATCCAGGTGTTATGAGTTCAAGCGTCAACAAATATGATATAATATGCAAAACCATCAGAAGAGGGCATAAAGGCTGCCCCAGAGATCACTAAACAGTAATTGAAAAGGTTCATCGTAAACAATAGAGGATGGATAGGAGGGTAAGTGATGAGCTTTACCCAACCAGTAAGCAGTAAGAAATCTTCAACAGTTTTATTATTGAGTGGAAAAACTAGAAAAGAAGATTTGTATATTATTGAATCGTTTAATATCTGTACAAGAGCTCTCTATTTAAAGAGTACTGAAAGACCTAATAGGCTAAGCCCAAAATACACTTCTAGAGTATTCTAGCTAATACAAATAAATAGATAAAATTCTAATATTTACAACACTCTCCCTCAAGCTGAGGAATGGATATTTATCATTCCCAGCTTGTTAGTAAGCTCTTGAAACCTATCATTAGGTAGACCCTTAGTCAAGACATCAGCCAATTGACGACCAGAAGAGATATATGGAGTAGTAATCAGGCCACTATCGAGTTTCTCTTTGATGAAGTGGCGATCAATCTTAATATGCTTGGTTCGATCGTGTTGGACTGGATTGTGGGCTATACAGATGGCTGACTTGTTATCACAGAATAACTTCATAGATCCTTCATATCTCACCTTGAGATCATCAAGAATGATTTTCAACCATAATAACTCACAGATCTCTTGAGCCATAGCCCAAAATTTCGCTTCTGCACTTGATCTAGCAACCATATTTTGCTTTTTATTTTGTAGCCCCTATTATAGAAATCAATCCATTCTGTTCTTGTTTGTTTATTTAGAACTATATACTGCAAACAGCTCCTTTTATTGATTCTTGCCTTGTTGACTTTTTTTCTAAACCTACATTTTGATCTGTACTCACTTACACAGCTAGCTAGTTTGAATTTTCTTTTAGGACTCAAGTTGAGTTAAATGTTATTTTATATGCATAATTATTATTCTTTTATTAAAATTGGAAAGGTAAGATCTTTATGATCCATATCAATCTCACAATTTATGATCTTGTCACCCCCTTCCAATCTTAAGTAAGATCTCAATTTTGACTACCTTGATGAAGAGCCTACAGAGAGAAAAGGCAAGCATTGACCCTTAGCCGTATGAATCTGATAATCACCATCTAGATCAAGATCAGTTGTTTGTGGCAGATTAGCGGTGACATGATGAGTTGGGCTGGAGTCAAAATATCAGATATAACCAACAAATGGCTCAGGAGTTGTGAGATAAATCATAGGAGATTGCTTCTGAGCTGGAGCTGAATGAGCAGGTTGTGCAAACTGACCAAAGGAGGTAGGTGCTGAAAGAAGCCAAGGAGGCATAGATTGCACTTGAGGTGAATGTTGCAAGGCAAGGTAGTGTATACATAGGTGAATAAGGTGGCAGTGCCGGCAGTGGAGGTTGATAGTTAGGAACAGGATCTGAAGTGCTAGAAGCAGTGAAAGCTGGATCAAATCAGTGAAAATATATCATGACATCGTGGCCATGCTCATGACAAAGTTAACACTCATAGTCACTGTGATCACCTATGCCAAAACAGCCTTCACATCCACAACGACCCCCATGACTAGGCCAAAATCCATATGAAGGAAAATGTGAGCTATATTGAAGATGTTGTGAAAGTTGAGACATGGAGAACGGAGCTCCAAAGCCAAAACTTGTAGTAAAAGGAACTGAAGTTTGCACTTAGGGTGTTAGAGTGTTATAAATTGTGTGCCTGGGATTGGTATCCAATTACTTATCTGCCAAATTAACAGAGTGTGCATCTGATAAAGACACATGTTTTTGGTTCTCGACATGAGCTTCATGAGCAAAATGTAGAGATTCATCTCACTCACCATATACAGATCAAGCCTACTATTAATGGAGGTGACAAAGGAATCATACTCCTTAAGATGTCCCTCCAAGTTTTAATCAAAATGTTGAGGAGAAAATGGATGTCCAATCGAAATCAGAGAGGCAATGATGGCTTTGATCAAAACTGAGATTGATCGACAGCCTTTTTTGGTATTGCGCAACTCAGATTGAAATTGTCGAATCTTCACCTGAGTTTGAGAGTTGAAGAAGCTGTGGATCTTGTTCCACAGGTTCCACAAATGCACACAACCAACTACTCGACATAGAACCAAGTCTGAAAAAAATGAGAGTAGTCACGAAAAATGAGGGACTAAATTGAAGACAAATTCTTTCGAAGACTATAATATCATGATTATATCTTACAATATATTAAATTTCTTATATGATCTCTTAGTATTAGAGTAGCTATATTGTATACTGGACAGCTGTGTTTATAGTCACAGCTGTACCCAGGGTTATTTGTGTAAATAGCCAACACATTAGTTGGTAAACTGATGGTGACGTGTAAGCTTGTAACAAACTTAGTTGTCCTATAAAGGGACGCATGTGTACTGTTTTCAGAATATACTGAATAATATGAACTATTCATTCTCTCTCATCTTCTCCTTGGTTCTCTCATTTCTCTCTCTCTTTCTTCGCTCTATGATTTCTTTGACTTAGGAATAGTTTTCACATTTCTTTATATTTCATGATTTGTTTCCTTCTTTAATTCCATTTGTGTAAATAAAGCTTAGTACTTTGCCTTTTGTATGACATTGTATTGCATCTTTCACTCTAATATTATCATGGTATCAAACTGGTACCATTTTTTGTGACTTGTCATTAGGGGTGTAAATGGGTCAGCAGCCTATGTTAGGTCAGGCTTGATCTAATACATTTAGTAAAATAAACAGGCTCATACCTTTAAAAAAACTCGTTTAGAAAATAGGTTGTAGGCTAACTTATATTGTATTTTTATTTTAATTAAAATAAAATAAATATTTAAATAATTTATATTAATAAAATAATTTTATTTCATCTATTTTTTCTAATTCTTGATAGGAATTGAAGGTCTGATAGGCTTAAGTAGGTTAATAGGCTTGATCCTTTAAAAATATACGCTTGGCCAAACCAATAATTTAGTTTATACCAAGTTAGGCCAGGCCAGACTCAATATTTTATATAAGCTCGGCCTATTTAGACCAAAACCTAACCTAAGCCAGCTCATTTACACCTTTACTTGTCACATCACTGTTTTGTCTTCAATTTTTCTTTTTCTTTTTCTTTAGTAAGATTTAGTTTTAGCTACAATTTACTAGTTCTATTTCTGCTATATATGTTGCTTCGTAATTATCCTTATTATACAGCAATAAATAATATAGATGTAAATTTAAGACTGGTACACAGTTTACTTGAAATATGTTGATTGATCATTCAATAATTGGTTTTTGGTACAAACTTAATTGTTTAGTTTGCCAACACTGATAAACTTCTATATTTGCTTCAGGAATTGCTACATAGGATGATCATTTCGAAGACAGGAACTTATAGGTAAAAGATAATCCAGTGAAGCAGGTGAATTGTGAATTTTGCACACCACTGTTACTGTATTTCGGTAAAGACATAAGATGTTTGGTTATCTAGAGTTAATTGGATTACTTGTTTTGAGGATTCAGTTACAGAGAATAGAAGTTACAAGAAGTGTTAATGCTTGAGTTTTTTTAGTTACTGTTTCTTTTTTTCTTTTTCTTTTTTAATTTTGAGTTACTGTCTAGGTTTTTGAGATTTTGGGATTTGAGTGAAATGTAAAATCTGGTTGCAGGATATAGTGGAACTGTATCATGCATCACTTGTGAGGCGGCAATATACAGTATTTCTTGTGTTCTTGAGTAGATTTTGGTCTTTAATGTCTCGCCAAGTTGTGGATCTGCATTTGAATTATCATTTTGATTTGTTTTAGCAGATTGTAACTAATGTTTCTGTTGATTAATAGTGTGAAACATTGAAGGCATACCCTTCCAGGAACCCCTCGAATATGTTACAAATATATTCTGATTCTTTTTCTGAAGGGGAATCTTTTTTTCTATAAGGTCAAACTTCGTGTGTGAGAAAGGGAATTTCCCCGATTTGGAAAACTTCCACATTCTTTGGACTTTTAATATTTTTTTGACATTTGTGAGATATATTAGAGTTTAGTTGTGTTTAAGCTTCTGGCTACTGCCTTTTTTTTATACACATTTATAAAATTTGAGAACTTCATAGTACTTGTAGATATCTTATACCTAAGGCGACCATCATTCATGATATTAATGTCAAACAAATAAATTCAAATGAACTTTGCAAATCAATAGTTTCTTTTTGTGATAGTTAGACAGCAATATAGTATATGCATTTTATTTTGGTGATATAAAGTTAAGAGGGGATGTTTTCTATTCAAGGGTAAAGGCTTCTTTCAAGGCTTCCTTTCTTTTACGTGAGATTTATTTCCTCTTCATATTCTTGGTACCTTCCTAAGGGTGAGTCAAGTGAGGACAAGAAAAAAAGAAGAAGAAGAAGAAGAAGCAATATTTGTGGGTCACCCGTGCATAGTACTAGTGTAATGAAAAACATATTAGACCGACCGGTTCAACTGGTTCACTCAGAAACTGAATCATCAAGTGATCCAATCTAGGCATGAATTGGTTTTGCATGGTTCAACGGATTCAATTAGTATTAAATAGGCACCGGTCTTTTAGTTGAACCAGTTCTATGAAATCTTGTATAAAATATTTGTAAAATACAAATACTAGGGTTCAAACCTAGGCTAGGTGGATTGGAGCTTGCACACTTACAACTAGATTAACTCTATTTATTGGTTATAGTATTTATAATTTTATATTTATTATATATTATTATACATATTTAATTCAATCGGTTCAATTAGTGATCCACTGCTTTGAATCAGTGATTCATTGACCCAATATATTGACTGAGTCAATAATTGATCTGAATTTAATAACATTGGAAAATACACCAACAAATAGTAGTCTTTAAGAATGACATCAATCTTGAGGAGAGGGTATTTGAGGAGTAGTGAGCGAAGTTTGTTTGCAGTAGACCTTGAGTTTGGTAAAAAAAAAACAAGCTAGTTTTGGTCTTGCCTCAGTGGAGGAGCTTCATATAGAGAATAAGACATTGGGCTTAGGGGTGTTTGCAGCCTGGATTGGATCGGTTTTGAAGCAAAAAATCATCCGATCCAATTCCTTCGGTTTGGTCATTACATCATCCGATCGGTTTGAATTTTTTTTCAAATCCGATCCAATTTTTTTCGGTTTGGATTGGATCGGTTTTCGGTTTTTTGAAAAGCCCAAAAAACAAAACTTAAAAGAATTATTTTTAAAAAAGTGACGATGTTTCAAAACATTTCAAAATTCAAACGGTTATCAGAATTGCTTCACATGTCTTGTACATCAGTTAAAGGCTCAAAGATTATGTCACAGCCACACAAAATCAAAGATTATGTGAAACGGTTATCAGAATTGGTTCACATGGATTAGAAGCAGAAGAACTGCAGAGAACGCGAGAGATCTTAAAAACGTTATGTCACAGCCACACAAAATAAAAGGCGATTGTTTGAAACCAACGAAGAATGAAGGAAAATATTATTGCTTCATCACACGAATAACGGGAAGAAATTTAGAAATCTGCTTTGCTATACCTTTATCATGCCCTTGATGCAAATAAAATCAAGTGTTATAGTACCTTTGTTATATGTTTATTTGGCTGTTTAACGGAAGAGACAAACGTTGATTTTTGAGAAGAAAGAGATATGCTACTGGTGCCAGAGCGTGAGTGACTGAGAAGAGTGAGAGACTAAGAGGACGGCAAGAGTGAGTTTGGATGGATTAGGTTTAGAACTTTGGGTGGGTTTAAAACTGATGGGCTAACGCACGGGTGGGTTTAAAACTTTGGGCCGGCTATTATTTGGGATAGGTAATAGGTATAATTTGGTAAAAAAAAGTTTGGATTGGATCGGTTTTTAACATCAAAACCGAAAACCGATCCAATCCAGTAATTTTTTTCGGTTTTTTTCGGTTTTCGGTTTTTCGATTTTCGGTTTTCGGTTTTCGGTTTTTCGGTTCGGTTTTTGCGGTTTAAATCGGTTTGGATCGGTTTATGAACACCCCTAATTGGGCTGATGAAGTTGTCGTTGTGGATTGTGACAGCCCTGTGAAAAATGGAAATGGGAACCTTGGCATGCAATCTTCATATAAAACAATGTAGGGACTTCTAGCTCTTTAAAAAAGAACATTCAGCATCAATGGTTGGGGCTACAAGGAGCAGACTAAAGTCTACAACAAATAGTATGGGAATATTGCCAAGGAGCTGAGAAGACTGAAACTTAAAGGGGCGTTTGGTTGAAGATAAATTTTAAGAATACTAGAGAAATGTAATTACTAAGTATCCATAGGAAAAGTTGAATAGATGAGGAAGTTAAAAAAAAAAGTAGTTTGGTTTGACAAAATTTTACCAGAGAAATATATGACAAAAAGTGTGTCAACAGTGCTTTACTCGGGTTTTCTCAAAAAACCACCCTCAAATCGGGTTTCTAAACAGTGCAAATTACTATCTTTCTCAAAAAGCCATGCATTTCACATAGATGGGTTTTGGTCAAAAGCTGTTGAACCAAATATTGATTTTCTAAAAACCAAACTTCATTTACCTAGGAAAATCTCAAAAAGCATGAAACCAAACACCCCCTGAAAGCTTTCCTAAAGATTATCCCAGGTCTCATAATCCTATAACCGAACCATCACCAAACTCACCCCTGATTTGGGGCTCGGGATTTCACATAAGCAATTAATGGGTCACTACTGTGGCTCTTTTAAATAATGTTTGACGATTAATGATAGAAAGATCATTTTTTTTTTCTAAATAGAAAGACCAAATTGATTTCATTTTCCATATCAGCAATGAATCAAATGACATGAGATTGTTTCATGTTAACCCTTAGTTTCGAATTTGAGTTTTATGCATGCAATTGTACTAAAAACTTAATAAATTTTAATCCAATTAATTAAATAATTAATGAAATGATGAAAATTAAAAAATGGTTTTATTGAGCAATATGTCACAGGAGAAATTCTTTGTTGCAACAACTAAAGACGATATTTTAATGAAATAAAGAAAGAGAGAGGAATCTAAAAAAGTAAAATAAAAAACAATTGATAAGAACCTGTCCCTGAAGAAGACTATTGATAAGCCATGCCCTTTGGTGCAGTTTGATAAAAAAGCTTAAGGAGCCTCGCGATGAGATGATCCGAAGGAGGAAGTATCTAGCCCTATCTATTGCACCAAAAAGCTTCAAGATAAGTGCTAAACCTACTCTTGCATCAAGTTCGGGGAAGGCGCTCTCATCCCTGGGGGTTGGTAGTTCTAAGACATCTAGCTGTAAACTCCAATTATCCTCTCCTAACATGGTTAACACTTCGGGCCCTGAAAAAAGTCAAAGAAGGAAGGAAAGGGGGTCACTTCCATGTCAATTCCTGTGAATGTGTCAAGTCTTAGTCAAGAGCTGGCCAAGGGTACACTTCAGGCGGACCTCAATAGACCGCCGGAGGATTCCCTTGTCCTAATGAAGTCTCATAACTCGATTGAGGGTCCTCTCCCTCCTGAAGATGTCTCCATGAAGGGGACAACAACGGATCATGCAATTGTCTCATGATAGGGATGAATCTGTCCCATTATTCTTTTATTTGCATTTGTTTGATGATGAATATGTGTGTGGAATTGTAGAGGGGCCGAGAAAAAATGATTTTCTCCCCCCGTTAGAGACATATTACGTCGGTACAATATTCAAGTTTTGGCTCTTCTTGAAACTCGGATACGAGGCGACCGTGCCCAAAAAGTGGCGAAAGGGCTTGGTTTTCCTAAATATACGTTGGTTCATCCAAATGTTTTTTCTAGTGGACTGTGGATATTGTGGAATGATGGAGAAGCAAATGTCCAAGTTCTTGAGACTGATTACTAGTTTGTTCACTTACAAATTATCTGGTCAAGTATAAGAAAAGAGGAAGTCTTAACATTTGTGTATGCCAGTCCTCGTCGGCAGGAGAGGAAATCTCTTTGGGAAGCACCGGGAAGGACCCATTAGCAAACTTTAGGGGCTTGATGCGTCTTTGGAGATTTTAATGCTTACTTGCACGCATCGGAGAAGGAGGGAGGAGGTTCGCCGAATTGGAGAAGCATCCAAGACTTCCAGCAATGTCTCTTGAACTGCAAACTTGAAGACTTAGGTCATCAAGGCCTATCGTTTACTTAGCGTAGAGGCAGGTTGGAGGAGCGTCTTGAGAAAGCTTGTCCAAATGAGCAATGGCAGCTATCTTTCCCAAATAAGGTAGTTTCTCATCTTCCATTTTTTAGCTCTAATCATCAGCCAATTCTTTTTTGGGAGGGCCAACAGTTGCAGAAGTCCAGAGGAAACCTTCCTTTCAGATTCATGACAGCGTGGCTTACCCATGAAGATTTTCCAAATTTAGTCCAGGAATGCTGGGTTGGGGGCACAGGTTTGGAATCGGCTACTGTGGCTTTCCGGTCTAGAGCAACTTGTTGGCATAAGGATTGTTTTAAGGAAGAAGCTAGGCTAAAGAATAATCTTTATGCTAGAATCAGGGGGATTGACAGAAGCTTAAGTCGTCATCCATGCCATGCGCTAGAGTTGCTTCAGAACGGTCTTTGGCGTCAATTGAATCTCATTTACATTTAGGAGGAGCTTATGTGGTTCCAAAGGTCTAGGGCCAATTGGATAAAATATGGGGACCGAAACACAAAGTTCTTCCACTCCTCCACAATTGCTAGACGTAGAAGAAATCGGATT